GGGCCCTGGATGGGGAAGGGGTGAGTGGGAGGGCTGAGGACTGGTTGCAGTTTGGATTAATTAATAAATTCATTCATCCACTCATTCAACAAATCCACAGGACAACTCTCTGACTCCTTACCCAGCGCTGTGGGTTGTAGGTGCAGGTAGGACAGCTATGAGCACAGGAGTGATTACAAGCAGTTCTCTGGGCTGGGGGAAGGGCTGGATCCCAGCTCTAGACCCACCTCCTCTAGTGACTCGTTTGATGGCACCCCTCCGCTGTGCCTCTTTTCCTCCCTTGAACAGGCATCTCACCCCTGCTACCTCTATGGCCAACAGGCCAGGGCACAGGGTGCCTGAGACCTGCTGAGATGGGCGCTGGAGGACTTCCCTGTGCCGCCAATTCGTGGACTCCGTGGTCTGAGCCCGCTGTCCTTGCACTGGCACAAAGGCCCTTCAGGCTGCCCTTGCTCCCGTCCAACACCCACCCCTGCTCCCACGTGTGGATCACGCCCAGCACTGCCCCAGGGGTTTCCGGGGAGGCTGTGTGTTGGTCCCTTCCTCCTTGGATCCCCATTTCACTTGAGTTCACGGCTCCAGGCAGTGGGAGGGTGTGAGCACTGGTCACCAGAGGGATAGGCGTGACTGAGTCGAGGGGGCCAGTCAGTGTGCCCTGGATGGGGAAGGGGCGAGCCCAGCCAGAACTGGTCCCTGGCTGGGGGCCATTCACATGCCTGTCAGAGTGTGGGAACAGAATGATTTTTCTTGAGTGTCCCTGGGGTGTGTTGGGCCACAATCTGCCCATTGAGAAATGGAGGCAGATGCTGGGGGAGGCAGATCCGGGGCCCAGTCTCACTGCTCCCCACCTCCCTCCCCAGGAGCTCTGGCTCAGGCCGGCGGAGTGGAGGGCACTCTGCCTCCCACTACCTGCATAACCCTGGGCCTCAGTATCCTTATCTGTACACTCAGAGGTTGGACGAGGTGAACCTGGTGCCTTTCAGCGTTCACTTTGGGAGAGTCTTTGAGTGTCAGGTTTCTCCTGTCAAGTAGAAACAGCCCCACCTTCCTGGCTGTGATCTTGGCTAATGGTTTTGGACTTGAGCATCTTCATGTGTAACATGGAGATAGTAATTGTACCTAAAGGTTACTGTGCAACCCATTGAAATGAGGTTATGCACGTGAAACCCCTAAGAACAGTGCCCCTCTCATCGTGGGTACTCGGACCGTGTTAGATGCTCTGTTAGAATTATTGTCATCCCATCCTTGATGTCATAGTCTATCCTGCCTGCTTCAGAGGCTGCTCTGAACATCACGGACAGAGCGCTTTGAGGAGCTGGCACATGTATGAGACTTGTTGTAGGGTGTCTGCATGCAGGAGGGGTGGAGAGTGGGAGGATCTGGGGCACAAATGGATCTGGGCTGGGGTCTGAGCACTTTTTGGAGGTGGAAAAGACAGAGGGCGGTCCATCGCTGTCCCTGGTGTGGTGGCTGGCTCTTCAGGGCTAAGCGATCTGTTATATTTTATGTGTATATGCCTAACATGGCGAACACAACCCAGAAGGTGACTGATAAATGTCCCTCCTCTCCTTTCTCTAATCCAACACTTTAGGGAGAAGAATTTGGAAGTTTATGAGCTGTTGGGTCAGAGTGGGCAGGGGTGGCTCTGAGTGACTCACACTGTCTTGGCCCTGGCTCGAGTTGTCTCTGTGCTCTGGGCCTTCATTTTCCCACCTGTAAAATGGGAGAGGGTTTTTCTGTGTGACCTCCTTTGCTGAGTGGTGGGTCGGGCAAGAGAATTGGGACAGTGAAAGGTTAAAGGACATAACACCCAGCAGCCCCTGACCCATAGTAGGTATGTCCCCTTCTCAGGGGCCACTGACTACTCCCTGGCCTTCCTGTTGCCCTCTCTGCTTGTGCTGGTCCCTCTGCCTGAAACACCCGTCCTGCTGAAACCTACTCCTGTGGGCTGATCCAGGTCGGGGAGGGGCCTGTACTGGGAAGCGGGTGTTGAAATTCCATAGCCCACAACTTGGTGGACTGGTTCTCAGTTAAGCTGCGTGTTAACCTCCTCCCAGGCTGAGTTGCAGTGAATGCGGGGTGTCTGGGGCATCTTAAGAAGCACATCACCTGTCGTCATCCTTCCACCCCAGTCAGCCAGAGCAGCTGAAGGGCAAAGCTTTTCTGCACTGTCAACACTGGAGGCGGCGGAGCCAGGTTTTCCCGCCGCAGCTGGGAGGCACGTCAGCACGGGCAGTGGATCTGATCTGCCAGGCCAGCTGCTAGCCACACGCTGGGGTCTGTGCTCTGTCTTCTGGGACCAGGAGTGCCGGCTGCCCACCCTGCCTGGCTCTGGAAACAAAAGGCCCATGAAATTCGTGCAAGCTCATCTGCTGGGGTACAGCTTAGCATCACTGGTGAGGAGCAGGGCCACTCAAAGTGCCATCTGCAGGGGAGCTCATTAGAAATGCAGCGTGTCCGCCCTACCCCAGATCTTCGGAGTCGGGGCCTGCATCTGAGCAAGGTCCACCAGTGATTCCCATGCTTGTCACTGTGTGAGCAGGGGCTAGGCTTCAGTCCCAGCCCTGCTAATAGCTGTGTGACCTTAGACAAGCTAACTCACCTTTCTGAACCTCAGCTCCCTCATCTGCAAAATGGGTTTGGGGAAAAATTCTTTACCTGAGAGGCTTAATAGTTCACAAGGAAGCTGATGAGATGTATATACGAGGCGCTGAGCCCAGTGCGTGCGTGGCACCCAGACGTGCTCACCAATCAATGGCTGCTTCTGCTGCCTCTAATATGTCGAGATCCAAAGATACGGCTCAGGTTCTCACTCTGGGTTGACTGGGGCCAGTCATTCTCCTTCTCTGGGCCTCATTTCCCCTATCTGTATAATGGGTCTTTTGACCCCTGCCCCACCTTCCTCATGAGAAGGTTGCTGAAAGGGAAAGTGAGAAGGAGCCGCCTCCCCCCGCTGGAGCCTGGGGAATGGGTGTGTGGGTGGGTGGGTGAGATGCCCCTGGGCACCTGCATCTTCACCCCTCGCTGCCCCCTTCTCTGCTGCTCCTGCCATTCCTGTAAGACCCAGTATCGAGGCCAGTCCCTCCCTTGTACCTGCTCTGTTCAGTGGCTTTGGAATCAAGTTCTCTGCCCCCACTTAGAACAGCATGGCCAGGAGAGATGATTCAGCTTGGGACCTGTGTTCTGGACCTTGGCCTCTCTTGAGGGAAACCCTGGATGCCCCATGCTGGGGGGTGGGGGCGGGCAAGGGGAGCCTGTGGACTTCTCCCCACCTGGGACTTCTATCCTCTCCTTTGGACCTGGGGTTGAACTCCTGGCCTGACCCTTGACATACTGGGTGACCTTGCAAATTCCTGGCACACTGTGGGCCTCAGTTTCCCTATTTGTACAATGAGCGTGTTCAGTGAGATGGTCCTGCCTGGTTTAGACCCTTAGATTCCCTCTCTGCCTCTCCTTAGCCTCCTGTGTCCTTCATCTCTGGCAGAAGCCTCCACCCATCCCCACTGCCCTCTAGGTCCTGGACCCTGTGGCCTGCGGCAGATCTTGGCCTGGCCGCCAATGTTGGGGGCTGGTAAAGACCAAAGGGAACGGGGGAGGGGGAGCGTGTTTGTGCATGTTTGTGTGTGTGCGCGTGTGTGTGTCCTCTGGGAGCCCTAGCCAGGCCTGTCTCATCTCGTGTGGGAGAGAGGGAGGAATTTTCCTCTGTGTGTGCAAACAGTATCTGTTTTCTCTTGTTTCCAAAAGCTGGTGACGTAACCCACTCTTCATCCATTCCTTCCCTCTGGCCTATTTTTAGCTGCCCCAGCAGCATCCGACAAGGCTTCCAGACCTGCCTGCTCTGAGGCCATGTAGGGAGGCGGCAGTGGGTGAGAAAGAGAGAAGCTCTTCTGTCTGTCCCAGGATGGAGAGGGAAAGGAACCTGCCTGGCTTCCTCTGGGAGGGAGAGGGATCTGGGGGCGGGGGGCTGGGGCTCTGGTTGGTCCTAGGTCCACGTGGAACCCAGCAGGGTTAGAGCCTCCAGCCAGGCTTGAGTCCTGCTGCTCCACCTGTCCTCACCCTGACCTTGGGCACCTGACAGTGTGCCTTACTCTCTCCACCTGTAACGTGTGGATGATGGATTGTTATGAGGATTGAATTGTGTCTTGTAGACGGAGGCCTGGTACAAAGTAAGCACTCAGTTAAGGTGCTGGTATTGTTACAGTGATTATATTATCATCTCATCCAACCTCCTGTGGTTGCTGGGGGTACACTATTAGCCTATTGTGCCTTCTCCTCTCTGTCATTTCCTGTCCAGCCTCAGCCAGTATGTGCACAAACCAGATGATACATATAAAGCCACTGGAACAGGGCCTGGCATGAAATAAGCACTAAATAAGTGAGCGCTGTATTTATTATTTTGTTTTAATGTAATAAAACAGACTTGGGTTTGAAGTCCAGCCCTACTCATTCACTAGCTGTGTGTCTTTGGGCTGGACATTTAACCTCTCTGAGCCTCCAGCCCTCATCTGTCTTTGTTGGTTAGGGTAGACTGCAGGACCACAGACCTAAGATTGCAATAGTTAGCACAATAGAAGTGTATTTCTTGCGTGTGCAAAGAACAGCCCAAGTGTGGTGCTGGCCGCAGCCTGGCTCCCCAGTGCCAGCCTTGATATTGCATTTGCAGCAACAGCAGGAGCAGCTGCATTTAAACAGCACTTTACAGTTTGCAAGAAGGGGGAACAGTGGTCTCTCCTGTCTTCCTCTCCCCATGGTGCCGTGCTCATGTCCTCAGATGACAATTGTCAGTAACACCTGGTATTATGGCCATGCGTCAACCTAGCTGTCCCTGCCCCACCGCCACCCCGTAGACTGGGAGCTCCTGGAGGGCAGGCAGGGATGGATTCACTGCTGTGCTGTTCTTTCCTAGCCCAGGACAGGCCTAGGGTGGCTGCCTGCACCGTGTCTGAGGGTTGGACTGGCATGGGAGGCTCCCTCTGACCACCTGTCATTGTCTCTTACAGATGGGAGGAGGAGCTTGCCAAGAGCATGAACCTGCAGACCATGGTGGACACACTGAAGGAGGTAAGAGCCCTCAGAGGTCCCGATCAGGAGAGGCTCGTGGGAGAGCCATGTGGCCAAGAAGCACAGCCTTTAGGGGGCAAAGCTGGGGGCAGTTCCCAGCACAGCCCCTACTCTGTGTTACCTCCTGCTGCCTCAGTCTCTCCTTGATGGAGCCAAGAGGCCTCTCTTGTATCCCCTGCTTTGGACCTAGGAAGGGACCAGCACAGTGCTGCAGAAAAGCTTTGGTACAGGAGTTGGGAAACCTGGGTCCAAGTCCTGGTGCTGCCCCGGCTTGTGGGGTAACCTTGGCCAATGACTCCCCTCTCCTGCCTCTTCTCCCTACCTGAAGCTTGGACTGGATGGTGTCTAAGTACCCTTTCCCCCAGCCTGCAGGATCTGACTTGGGCCGAATGCCCTGGAGAGGGCAGTAGGCATGTCACCAGGTGGGCCCCCAGCCCTAGCGGGCTCTCTATGGCAGGCATGGGGACCTTCCTTGCTATTCTGGCTCGGTAGCTCTGTATTCTGGGCCCTGCACTCATCCACCTTCTGGGTACCCAGGCAACAAAGTTCACCTTCCTGGCCTCTCTTTTCCTCTGTCAAATGGGTGCAAGAATAGTGACCCCATGAGAAGGTATGGAAAGCTCTTTCAAACATTTTTAAAAATTGCTTTGTGATATTGAAAACATTTATCTTTTAAGAAAGTTAGAGACAGATCAAAATAATATCAATATATAGAAGGGAGGGGGTGAATGTCCCCCGTTTTTATAACAAAAGCGCTTTTTACTTTACACACATAACATGTTCATGCTGAAATATTTGCAAAGTTGAGAAAAACTTAGAGAAGAAAATAAAACTGCCCTCCAGTTCTACCCCTCCACTGTTGACATATTGGTGTGTGACCTTCGGTCTTTTCTTTGCAAACACACATGTATCTAGGTGTGTATGCTCAGTTAGGTTGACATATGTGACCTTGCCATTTTAGAGATCAGAGATGGTCAAATATTGGCAATGTCACATGAATCGACCTAATATTTTAACCTACTGGGATCACTTATTGCATTAAGTTGCTCTTTTTCTCTTATCTGCCATGGGTCTTTCCATGCCTTAAATACTCCTTTGAGAAGTGTTTTAAGCTGAGCAGCAGGAAGCCTGGCTGGGCTGAGGTCCTTGGCACCCCTTCCCTAGCCAGTAGGCCTGGCCTGGTTGGGCCTAGCTGTCCAGTCCCTCCTGTCCCTAGGGCCCCAGGCCCCCTAACCCCTCCCCATCTCCATCCCCATAGGCGGCGCAGGAGGCAGAAGCCATCCAGGATGAGATGAACGAGACGATCGAGAGGCTGAAGGCCGAGCTGGTGGTGTTTAAGGGGCTCATGAGTGATGTAAGTGCCACTGGCCGCTGCCCCCAAGTGTCATGACCTCCCCCCACACCCATCATGCAAATTGCTTCATTCACTCCGAGGCTCCAGAGCTCGGCTTCTAGTTAGAGTCCTGGCTGGCTGCGTTTGACCGTTTGACCATGAGGATGACAGATGCATCGAGACCAGGCGCCCTCCTCCTGTCCCTTCCCACTTCCGCTTCTCTTGGTCTGAGTAGAGATGCATTAATCTGCTGCTTAACCCATCCCGCCCTCCCGGGGCTCCTCTAACGGACTGTGTGTGTCGGCTCAGACTCCTCCCAGCTCGCCCTGATGCGGCTGGTGGTGGCCGTGGCCTCAGTGTCTGGGCACAGGTCGAGGGAGGCCCCGTGCCATGCCAGCCTGAGAGCCCCCGCAGGCCAGCGGCCTTCTGCAGGGCTGCTTTGTACAGTCAGGGAAAGGCTGGTGTGTGCGTCCTTTTGACAGAGCCCTTCTAAGTGCCGTGGGTGAGGGAGCTGTTGGCAGCCAAGGTCTCCTTCCTGCTGGGGACCTGGGTTTCCTGCCACCTTCAAGCAGCAGGCAGTATGTAGGGAGAGCTGCCAGAAAGGAGAAGGAGCCCGATCGTGGGTGACTCAGGCAGGTGTGGCTTCTGGTCCTGAGGGGCATAAAGCCAGGTGCTGGTGGGAGAAGGCTCCTGGGGCTCCAGGTGGAGGCCATTTGGCTTCCCCTCCTGGGGACTCCCTGTTCTGGGCAGACCCCCACTGTCAGCCATGGGAGGAATCCTGAAGAGAGAGGTGCCTTGGCCAGCACCTCTGCTTGGGGACAGGTGGGGCACGCTGGGTGGGAACGAAGCGAAGTCTTTCAGAGGTGGGAGCTGCCTTTGTTTTTTCTTTGCTCTAACAGAATAAACAGTGACACTGTGTCTGCTGAGAGGGTGCCTTCCAGCCCTTAGGGAGACGGGCAAACACGGTCTCACATTGTCCACTCAGCGCCAGAGCCTTTAGCTCCCACGGCCCCTCTACCCCCTGCCCCTCCCTACCTGAGCAAAGCTAGCCCAACCCTTCACGCCCAGGAAACGCTCAAGGTCCCCCTCGGACTCGGGGCCTCCCACCGGACACCTAGGGTCCTCCGCCCCCCTCTGTCCAGCAGGGGCCTGGGAGCAGCGCCTCCACCCACGCCTGCTCCGTCCCTCGCTCACGTAACCCCTGCTGTCCTCCCTGCAGCCCATGACAGACCTGGACACAAAGATCCAAGAAAAGGCCATGAAGGTGGACATGGACATCTGCCGCCGAATCGATATCACGGCCAAGCTGTGCGATGTTGCACAGCAGCGGAACTCGGAAGACGTGTCCAAGATCTTCCAGGTGACTAGGGCCACCCTGCTCACCAGCCGCCACTCCCACCTGCCACTGCCACCCTCCCAGAGAGCCCCGGCCTCAACCCTGCCTGGCCGGCCCCTGTTTCCCTCACATCCCACCCACTCCCTCCCCCTTCCCCCAGAGTCAGCGTGGCCTCCCCGGGAGAACATAGAGTCAGGGACTCGTAGGCTCATAGGCTACTCTGACTCCATCACCAAGGCTGACGGCTTCATCCTATGGCTGAGGAGACCACTCACCCTGGGGGGTGACATGACGGGCTCAAGGAAGGGAATGGCAGAGCTGGGACTAGAACTCGGGTCTCCAGACCCTTCAGGGCTTCATCCACCTGCCCACTCTGGGTTCACTGTCTGGTTTCCTGCCTCTTCCACGGGTTGCCAGGCTGTGGGTGCACTGGGTGAGCTGGCTGAGCCCTGGCAGACAAGCCTCAGAGTTCCAAGGATGAGCTGTTGGCCTCTGACTGTTTTTCATTCCCACTGAAGAGGCGCTCAGTCTCCCCCTCTCCCCCGTCTATGAGCAAGTGTGTCTGTTCTGAGAAGAGGCAATGGGTTCACCGGCAGCTGCCCCCAGGGAGGGTCTGGGGCTGGATCGCTTCATTCTCTGAAGGCTGCTTCTTGAGTCTGGATTGTGGTTTGCCTTTTGCGTGAGCCCAGGGTGATACGGTGTGTTGTTGCTTTAAGTGTGTGACTTTGGATTTAGCCAGGTGGGGTCTGGGCTTCCCTGGGCCCTCTGCCCACCGCCAGGCCTTCTTGCTGCCCCTCTGCTGGAAAGCAGGGGGTGCCACTCAGCCTTCGTTTGGTTTGCTCATGTCTTGTCTACTTGGAGTGGAGGAAGCTTGGTAAACCTGGGACTGCCCACCTTTGCCTTTGCATGTGAGCAGGAGGGCTCTGGGGGGCACGGAGCCACCTGGGCCTCTCTGAGGGCTTCTCCGTCTCTCTGGCTGGCACTGAGACATCCCAGGTGACTCTATACCCCAGTCTAGCTTGCTCCTTTCCCCAAATTTTGTGGCTGCTTCTCTGGTGAAGGGGTGAGCTGAGCCGGCCCAACCACCAGGGCAGGGAAGGGTCCAGGCTGTCTGTGTCTTCTGTCCTGCATGTCTCCCCACCTCACGCTTCCTGCTAATGTCGCCTGCTTCTTAGACCTGCGCATCTTTCCCGGCAGTGGCTAGTCCTAGCCACGTTCCATCTATCCCTTGGGATGCTGGCTCCCTTCCCAGCCCACCCCTACCTTCTATCGGCAGAGCCTCCGAGTTACCTTGATCTCTTCTTTCCGGATCAGGTGGTCCCCAAAAAGAAAGAACGTAAGGTGGTTTCGGATGATGACACCTCTGAGCAGGACGGGGAGGTGAACCGGTTCCCAGATGAAGAGGTTGGCTCTATGAACATCACAGATGAGATGAAGCGCATGTTTAACCAGCTGTGAGTATTCCGGCTGCCTCAGCTCGGGGCTCCTCTCTGCTCCCCCACGTCACTAGGGCAGGGGTGGCAAACTGAAAGTAGCCCATGGGTGTGTTTTGTTTGGCCAGCATAATGAATAGATTTGCAGTCTTTCTTAACATTTATAATTTGGGGAGCTTTACATTTCCAAAAAGGACCAAATGGTAGTGGTGGTCATATTTGTGTGGGAGTCTTGACTAGGCCTTAGACACACTCCCACTAGTTTTTTTTTTGTGGTGAGCCATACACCAGCCCACCACGCTGGCCAAGCATCCTGGCCTGTAGGATACTGTACAAATGCGACTTCACCGACTCCAGACAATCAGTCTAGGAGGTAGGGTTACCACTCCCCTTTTGTAGATGAGGAAACTGAGGCACAGGGGAAGCGACCTGGCCAAGACCACTCTGCTAATACGCGGCAGAGCTGGGATTCAGAGCCAGGCCCGACTGCCTGTGTTTTTTCACTTTGAGATGCTGCCCGGGTTAGTGGCAGAATGTGTGCTGGACATGGTCAGTAGTGGGTTGGAGCCAGCTTGTACCAGCTCATGAAAGCCGATTGTGCCCGTCTGCCCACTCCAGGCTCAGTGATGAAGTGATGAGGTGGAAGATTGGCAAATGCTACCAATCAGGGCTGCCCCCCCTCCCCCAGGAGTGGGAGCCAGTGGGGATGGGTTTGCCCCATCCTTTCCTGTACTTGCGGCTCCCCTGAAACAGAACTGAGATGAGCTGTGCTTTGGGGATTGCTGTTTGAAGGTGACAAGGAGACTCCCAGACTCTTAATTCCTCTGACATCCCCCCAGATCTCATATTCTCATCTTTTGCTGATGAGAAGGGCTTTGGGGGCAAGGCCTTGGTTGGGCCTAGGTTTTCTGAACGTTGTTCTGGACATTCCCCAGCCTAAGGCAGGATTGTATGTCCCCACAGAGCCAGACTGGGTTCATTTGGTTGAATTAAAGGGCTTCTCTGAAGACACCATTGTCCTCATTCTCATAAAGTCGCCAGGGAATCAGGCTGCCCAGGAATGGGTGAGCTGAAAGGGACGGTCTGAAGAGCCGAGTTGCGGGACACCATTGGCCCAGCTCCTGTGTGCACGAAATTAGATTAATCTAGTGGTGAAGTTGACCAGATTAAAAAAAAATCCTCCGATCACCCCTCCATCCTTGCATTTCTAGCCAAGGCCATGCTAACCCCACCCTAGGTGGAACCCTGGTCCCCTCCCACCAACGTCTCCATGTGTGGAGATCCAAGCCAGAGACTGCCCCGGGCTGGTTCCACTGAAATCTTTGAATAATGCACCCATGTCAGGGCTGCTTTGTTTTGATCAAAATCTGTTGCTTGGGCTTCAGACCAAGGAGAAGGGGAGAATTTGCTACTTTCTCTGTCCCTTGGCCAGCCCTCCTCCTCAGCCCTGCCCTCCAGGTCTGTGGGGAGGGAGTGGCTCTTCCCAGCCCTTTCCCTGGTCCATCTTCCTGTCTTTGAAGGCTTCCTATTCCTCAGCTGGGGTTTCCTTCAGGTCCCAGACCCTGGGAAGGAAATGAAGTCAGCGGTTGAGTATGTGATGCAGCGATAGTGGACTCCAGGGGCTTGACTGAAGCCTGTCCAGTCCCGTGGCTCCTCCCACTGCAGCCCTGGCCCCAGCTCCACTCCCTGGACTCACAGAGCCACTTACAGGTTCTGGCAGGAACTGCTTTTCGGAGCCAGACCTGGCTCCCGGGGGTGCTTTAGGCAGCTTTTTACCAGAAATTCTTTCTTCTCCCCAGTGACCCCCCCCCAGCCTGACCATTTTGGGAAGGTTGGGATAATCCTGAAAGGAGTTGAGGGAGGGAGTATAAGCAGTGGGGAAAGCCCTGGGATGGGAATTTGGAGACTTGGGACCCACATGTTCCTCTTTGGCTAATTCACCTGGTCAAGTGATTTAACCCCTGTTGATATCAGCTTTCTCACCTGATTAGTGGGTGTGTTGGGCTGAATGATTTGAAGGTCCCCTCCAGCTGGGGTAACCATGCATCTCTAGAAACCCCTCAGTTCCAGGCAAACCTGCATGGTCTGTCCCCTGACTTCTAGTCCAACTGAATAGCGGAGCCCTGAAATCACCCAGGCTCTGAATTCAAATGTGATTTTCAGCACGTATTGCTCTAGAAGTCCACCTAATCCCTCTGAGCCTCAGTTTCCTCATCTGTAAAGTGGGAAGAATAATCCTGCTTGTCTCATAGGATGCTTGTCTCAAGGGTAGAATGAATTGCATTTTAGTATGTGCTCAGAAGCCACTCTGTGCCCAGCACATTATGAGCGCTTGGTGATGTTTTGATGGGGAGGAAAAAGCTGTAGGAAACAGAAAGATCTGGCTTTCAGCCCAGTTTTTGTTACAGGCCAGCAGTGCAACTTTGGACAAGTGGGTTATTCTTTCTGAGCTGCAATTTCCTCATCTGTAAAATGGGTATAATAGCATCAACCATTCTGGTTGCAGAGATTATATAAATCTCTTCACACAAAGTAGGGGCACAAGAAATGAGCTATTGAATGGAAAAGTTACAAGATTGGACTTGGGAGCAAAATGCCTTTAGTCTCCATTATAAAGCCCAGCATCTTAAAAACATACATTTTAAATTGTATAAAGAGTACGTAAAAACATTCTGCATTTTAAAAGAGTTCAATTCCATGGATAAGGCGCGTGTACCCTCTGCCACAGAGGGCCACCCAGTAGGAACAGACCCATTGGGCAGTGACCCTGTCCCTCTCCTGTCCTGGCCCCCCGGAGCCGGCCTTTGTTTGCTCATGCCCTCCCATGTCACCCCCATAGGCGGGAGACTTTTGACTTTGATGACGACTGTGACAGCCTGACATGGGAGGAGAATGAAGACACTCTGCTGCTCTGGGAGGACTTCACCAACTGCAACCCAACCATCGACATGCAGGGGGAGGTGAGTCTGGGGCCCAGGAGCCGGGCGCAGGGGGCACCTCCTTTCAAAGATCCCTCCTCCCCATTCCTTCCCCGCAGGCCCCCC